TACCATACATACATTAAAAAAAACCCCCGTACAATACATACATTACTAACCGTACCATACAGGTTTGTGTAATACCCCTATCTATGTAATCGAAAAATTAAAATCTATAATTCGATTTATATAATGTGGTAACGTAACTCTTTCCATGTTAAAGTTAACAGAAGTTATACTAGTTCGAATTAATATGATTTTTTTTAATTAAGAACTAACAATTTTAATTGAATTATGTTACATATTAGCAAATAGCGTTAAAAGAAAACAATGTAATTTTAACCTTTGACAAATAAACACAAATAATTAATTCATTTTTTTATTTCTTTCCAAAATTTTTGAAAACATAATACCAGTTGATGTTTCCTTTTTATTATTAATGTGAAAATTTAATTTTTATTTAATGAATTAATACTAGTATTGGAAATATCTTAAAATGACCTAAAAAAAAAAACACAATTTAGCTTATTATATTGCAAATGCTAAGTGATAAATCGTCAAATTTTAAATAATAAAAAATCATATAAATTGTCAATAACAAACCACCCTTTATTTTAGTTAAATTTCTTTTCTTATTTTTTTTTGAATTATTTGTCAATAAAATAATTTTTTACAATAATAATTAATAGGCTTTTATCTCCGGTATTTTTTTCGATTATACTAATTTTAATATCCCTTTTTTGATTATCATTGTATCTGTAATGAAATTTATTTAAGAAATAAAATTTTCTTGATATTTATATGTCTGACTCTTTCATTTATCACATAACCAGTGTTGGCTATGTGTATAAATAAGTCTAATAAAATTGAATTCTATTGGACTTATAAAATTATTAAGTCCAATAGTCCAAATGATGGAGTTTTTTTAAGTCCAATTTTTCAAATAGCCATCACTGCACATAACTGAAGATTTATTATTTATTTATAAAATAAAAGGATTATTTTCATTATTATTAGGCAAATAAATTTTATTTTATGTAATGATTACTCTATATAAATTAAAATTTTTTACAAATATACCATTAGATTAAAATACTGTAGAACACTGACTAAACTACCTCCCCCTCCCTGCAAACTACCCCAAAGGTTTTGAGCTAAAATTTTGTAAAAACCCCAGGTATTTTACATAGAATTTTTTTTTAAAGATTGCAAATTAACCAATTTTACTTATTTATATAATTATCCATCTAATATTTATAAAATAATATCAATAGTTGCGAAAAATATAGCCATATGACATTCACATGCAAGAAATATGATTCAGTAAAATTTTGAAAGAAATTCTGATTTGTAGATCCCATATGCAATTTCTGATTTAATTACATGACCTTATTCAAAAACATAAATAGCAGAAGATTTTTTAAAGAAATAAATGTTTTTATTTTAATATTTAAATCTTACTAAACCAATTAATTCATCCTTAAATGACATTTTAATAAATTATTTATTATTATATCTTCCTAAAATTTTATCATATTTGACATTATCAAACGAAATTAATTACTATCATTAAAATTTAAACTATTCCAATTATTATAAGCTTGCTTATAATCTTCCCCTTCTCCCCTTTCTAATACATTATCTGTATTATTTCTATCATTATTTCTTTATCTTCATCCATGAGATTATCATAATCAAAGATTTCATCATCTTCTAAACTATTTGTTTTGACTGAAATTCCATAACATCTAAATGATTTGCAAATTAAACTTTTTTCAACTTTTTCTCACGCAATCTTTACCCATAAACATATTAAGGAGTATGAAGGTTTCTTGATATGTCTAGCTAGAGTTAATTCATGAATTTGATTTGTTATCCAATCATTATAAGCTCATGAATCTGTTAAATTTTTTAATTTAATTGATAAAATTAAACAATATTTTAATAAATAATGGCTTTGTTAAATTAATAAATAAATGCTTTGAAATACACCAACCTGCCAAAAGTGTCCGGGCAGCTCCAAAACATGATCTTTAAACTACATTATCTCAACAACCAGTGATTGAATTTTAATGATCTATGATTCATTGAATCGCCATGTCAAAATGCATTTAATCGCACTATTTTCATGATTTGCATCGATAGATTAAATGTTATTTGCAAAACTAACTAAATTATTAAATTTTTTTTTGGACGTATGATTAAAATTTTGAATTTAGATCGATTCAAATTTTAATTAGTTTTAAACTTTTTAGGGTTCCGATTTATTATTTTTGATTAGAATTTATAATAGAAAAATTTTTTTACAGGAGATTTATTAAATATTTTTTTGTGAAAAAAAAATTTTATCGTAACTGATGTTTTTTCATAAACTTTTTAAAAAACAAATCAAAATTTTTCAATATTTTTCGTTTGAAGTAACATTTTTATCACCTTTAATTCATGAAAGCTTTAGAAGATTTAACCGCTAATGCTTATATGTGTAAAAACTTTCTTTATTAAAATATTTAAAAAGATAGTGGAAGATACTATATTCATTAAAATTTTTAATTTTTATATTTATTTTGATTGTTTAGAATATGTATTTACAAATAGCTTCGTTTTATTTCTTGTAATAAACGTGATTTTTTTTAATATTTATAAATATTAGAAAAAAAGAAAATATTTTTGTTTTCCAACTGAAAAAAAATATATTTACGTGATATCGTAGTTGCTTTCATTGTTTTGAAAGCTATCTTGCTGAACTTCGTCTTTATTATTGTTATGTATAGGTGTTTTTTCTTTTTTGTTTGTTCGGTCAATTGCTTGGATTAAAATTTCTGATATTCATTTGAAGGTAATGAATTTAAGACTAATGGTTGTGAATTTGCTGTCGACACAGTTGAGTTTAACATTAGTTGTGTTGATGACAATGGGTTAGTTTTTAGTTTTTTGTTAATAATTTGTTGTTCTAATTTTAACAAATTTTCTCTTTGGAGTTTTGCTTTTTTCAGATTTTTGCACCACAGAATTAGGAAAAGACCATTCGATCTCAGAACATATAATTTGTATAAGACTTGTTCCAATGAATAATTCTTCTGCCACTGAGAATACTGCTGAAGACTTTGTTGATTCTGCTACTGCAGAACGTCTACCATTTGATGTTGCATATGTACAAGGAATCATGAGTTTATTCATCGTTGCGGTGAAAGAATTATAGACATTTCTTTCTAATATGAAGTAACTTTAACCTTATTCATCTTTTTGCTGCCATTTTACAAAGAGGTGAAAGAACCAAATAAGGATGCGATTGGTAAACATGCATATCAGGCCCCTCTTCTAAGGTTTCTAGGTCTAAGGCTGTTGCTTGAATTACGATTATTTAAATTATGTTAGAAATTAGCATTTTTAATAGATTAAGTTATTTTATCGAAAATGATTTGAAAAAGGGAGCTCATTACAAATAATTCAGATTCAAAATTTAGAAAACTTCTAATCATTAACATGATTGAATTTCTTGGATCATAATTTTATTATTGTATTTGAATGCTTTAAAATTAATTTTGATAAATTCATCATGGTTTATTCTACTATATGCTATGCCTGTAGAAACTTTTTCTCCACTAACACTTTTAATAAACATAATTGATGATATAATTGATGACATTTTTTTTTTTTGCGATAAGCTTTTTTATTTATTATTATATATATAGATGATAAATAAAAAATTTCTCAAATCGACAATTATTTTGAAGCAAATTAACAAATTCCGACTTCATTAATCAATTAACAAAGGAAAAAAAAGAATGAGTCATTTATTTATAGATTTTTTTTTGTTTATTTTTTTCGAAAAAATGCCAATCACTAAGAGTAAAAATGAGATCATTTGGGTCATGGACTAGCTCCGAGCCTTTTGTCAAAAATTTTTTTTTATGATTTCATATAAGCTGAATATGCTTAACTATATGATAATCTAATTTTTTGAATATAAACGTATAATAAAATAAATTATCGAAATATTCATAAAACTTTTTCAAGCATAAAATATAAAAATTAAATTTGTATCACATTACATATAAAATTGATCATCATATTCATATTCTTCAAAACAATGAAAACGATAAAATTTTAAATTCCAATTTCTCAAAAAAGCAATAATTTACCGGAGGGGCATTTTGCTAGTCTATGACCCATTTGTAAAAATTAACTTTTTTTTGTTCTAGGTTAATTTTTGCTTACACATTTACACACTACTAATTTCCTTTAGAATATAGATCTTTTTAAACCAAATATATTTATTTGTTTATTTAATTAAAACATAGCATAGTGAATAGCAAAGCTAACGCATAGCAAAAGAAAGAATACGCTCTTATAAAAACAGAATATTTCTCGTACAACAAATCTTGCTCAAAAAAGGCTAAGACTTTTTTAGATTCATTTACTAAAATAAAAATCAAAAGAAGAAACGACCAACATGATAACCCGAAAAAAATAAGGTTGATCCGGACAGTATATAATGGATGGAATATATATATTTTTTTATCTTTAGGATGAAAAATGTTCGCAATTATTTCCATTATCGTTATTTTAGTTATTTTCGCTTATTTCATTCATGATAAAAATAAATTACCAAAAGAACTTGAAGGTATTCCATCTGCTTCTATATGGCCTACATTATGGTCGTTATTACGAAAAAAGCATCATGACGAAATTGAAGAAACGATTGCAAAATATTCAGGAGGTTACGATATTTATTTGGTTTGTCAAATTACATATATTCGATTCTTTATTTTTATTTTTATTGAATAATTTTTTACTTTGAAATTTTATTTTTCTTTAGAATCGCCTTATTGGTCAAACAGCTATAAATATCAATGATCCTACGTATCTTAAAGATTTCTTTACAAATTTAGGTGAGCTTTTATGTATAAATATTTGCAAAATCAATTCTTCATTTGATAATTAATTAATTTTTTATAGAGGATGATGATCCTCCAAAAATTAGTATGCCTTCAGGAGGAGCTTTGAGCGAATTTTTCGGTGATGGTTTAATTTTTTCGAATGGAAATGTATGTATAAATTTAACATGATATACTAAATATTTAGAATGATATAAATTTTTAAAAGAATTAATCATTTCATAGAAATGGCGAACTTATAGAAAATTAGCAAATCCTGCTTTCAATAACGCTTTGTCCCCGGAATTTGTTGGGGAAACTACATTTGAACTTTTCAATTTCATGCAACAAAATTTAAATAGACCGGTTGATATATTTGAAATTATGCAACGTACCACAATCGAATTGCTGGGAAAATTGGCTTTTGGATATCAATTTGGTGCAAGTATTCATTCATATAAAATATATGCGATCGAATCTATTTATAAATCAAATCAAAAAAAAAAATTTATGAAATTTTTTTTTTAGTGCTTGAAATCTGTCGAAACTCCTCATATTATAAATGTTTATAGATTTATAATTGCAACTGTGGAATCCATTTATTATATTTTATTTCCATGGATAATTAATTTACCGACAGCTCATAATAGAAAATTCTTTAAAGCTAATGAAGAATTTAATGAGTTTGTTTCTGACATTATAAAGGCAAAAAGAAATGAAATTGAAAATACGAAAGATTCTAATAATGAAAATTCTAAAAATGGTAGGATTGACCTTTTAACAGGTATGCTACAGCACGCCAACCAGGAGGGAATTAGTACCGATTTTAAGCAATTAAGAGATGAAATGGTGGGCTTTTTCGTTGCAGGACATGATAGTAAATATATATATATTTTTTTACTTTTTTTTATTCTTAATAGTTAACCATACTCTAATAATGCAGCAACTTCAATGGCGTTAAGCACCTCTTTTTATTTTCTTGCAAAACATCCGGTAAGCAGATCACTTTGATTTTGGAGACGTTAAGAATATTTTTTTGTTAAAATAAAAATTAAATTGCATGCAATTCATAGGAAATGCAAGAAAGGGCGCGGGAAGAAGTAATTAGCGTACTTGGAAATGAACCATTGATCCCTACAACGGAACAATTAAAGGTAACGACTCCAGTCTTTCACATTTAGCAAATAACTTAACTAAAAAGAAATCTTTGTTTTCAAGGCAATGAAATATATCAATGCAGTTATTAAAGAATCCTTACGAATTTATCCTCCGTCTACAGCAATAATTCCTCGAAAACTAAAAAAGCCAAAGAAAATTGGTCCTTATCTTTTGCCAGCGAACGTAATTTGTTCAACAAATATTTGGCAAATTAATCATCATCCAAAATATTGGGTAAATCCCGAACAATACAATCCTGAAAGATTTTTAAACAATGAAAAAATTCACGCATTTTCTTGGATTCCATTTTCTTCTGGTGCAAGAAATTGGTACGTATTTATTATTTTAAGAAATCGCTTAATGATATTATCCATTAATTACTTCGTATTATGATTTAAAAAGTATTGGTCAGAATTTTTCTTTGTTGGAACAAAGAGTTATTCTTTCAATGTTTTGTAAGTATTCTTGACAATGATAATTTTTGGTAAAGAAAAGAATTTTTTTTTGAAAATTAATTTTTGTAATTTTATTTAATAAGTGCTTAAGTATAAATGGACCCTTCCTGAAAACAGCATCAATAAGAACAAGTTATTGCTTGAGCCTCAATATTTATTAAGGCCTGTTGATCTAAAACTTGTATATACCGAAAGGAAAGCATGATGTCATCTAAATTGAGGGAAAAGTTTAAAAAATCTTAGTAAAAAGTAGTTGTGGTAATGAATTTAAAATAAATAAATAAATTTCAATTTCATGTTTCGCTTTGTTATTACACATTTTGATATGATGCGTTTGATTTATCTTGATTTGATTTTTTGAGGAATTTTAATGAGTTATTCACAAAATGGGATGTTTGCTATTGTTATGCGCAATTCTTTATGATTGTGAGTTGTAAACGAATATAAATGTAAGCAATAGTATATATGTAAAATTATTTTTATTAATATAACGAAATACAATGAATTCAACGTACGATTAGACACGCTCGTTGATTATGAGTTTCGTAATTAATACAAAGGGAGTTCCTTACTACAATTTCTCACTATTATTATTATCGGGCACGCTATATACCCGAAAATTAGTAAGGTCTTATTGTCCAGAAGCCATTTTTGCCACGAAACATATTGGTCGAATAGCATATTGGCCAGGAGGCGAATTGGCCGGAGTGAGAATACATTTTTTTCGCATTTCCATCCCGGAACAGGGACTGTGCTTTTATCCAAACATAATCTGGGTTAAAAAAAACCAAGTTCCCAGATTAAATAGTAAAAAAGTAAACATGGAGGGCGTGACAGATTGTTATATAAGTCGCATGTCCGAGGGTGAGCTTTTATTGACGAACTGTCCATGATTGCGATTTTAATCAGTTCTCGGTTTCTAAAATCTTTAAATTTAATATCTTGCAAATTATTAAAATTTATGTAATGCCATGAACGCATAATAGCTTTAAAAAATTGTAATACTTCGTTCTTGAAGAAATCAAAAAAAAAATTTTTTTTTTTTATATGCCTGTCCCACACAAAGTATTCTTTATCTATTTCAATATTTAAATTATAAATCTTTTTTAGATATTTTTTAAAATTATATTTCCATTTTTTGCTGTTTTATTATTGCCAATAAAGCTTGATTTTTATCGATTTCTATTCCATTGTACATTATCGTTATCTTTAATCTAACTAAGTTTTTAAAACTTATTATTATTATTTATATTATTCTTTTTATTAAAATTTATTTATTAAAGCATATGTTATAGGAGCTTAATTAATTTTCGCAAAAATGTGTATATGCACTTAGCCAGCCAGATAAAGGTTAACTTACAATAGTTTCTCCTGAAAACCGCAAGCTTCATTCAGGTTTAAAAATTCATACGAATATATTAAGGATACAAAAATAAATATTTAAAATTCGCTTCAAAACTTTATCTAAATACATATAAATGCGAATTTAAGCATTAACATTTTTTTTAAAAAATGTTTAAACTACAAAAATATGAATGATTAAAATGAAAAGGAAAGACAAATCAAACGACTCCATATAATAGAAAAGATACACCGTAGACATGCACCTTAGTAAAATTTATCAAATGGGAAACGTATTTTTTTTTAAATTTCTAATTTTTTTTTTTTTTTTTTTGAAAAGTAGTGGCGATGTTGTAGCCCAAACGTCACCTTGTCCCAAGTTAAACTTGGGATATACCAAATCGGAATTCCTATTTCGGACTTCT